GAGAGGAATGAGGGGGACTGGAGCACAGTGTGGGGAGTGAATGAGGGGGGACTGGAGGGCAGAGTAGAGTGAATCAGGGGGCTCTGGAGTATAGTGTGGAGGGGACTGGAGGGCAGAGTGGGGTGAATGAGGGGGACTGGATGAGAGTGCTAGGGGGGGACTAAAGGACAGTGTGTGGTAAATGAGGAGGAACTGGAAACCTGTGAAAATGGGGAACTAGGGGAGAGTGAGAGGCACTGAATACAGAGAGGGTGGAGTGACAGGTCTGTGACATTTATTTAAAAGGATTTTTTTTAACCATTTTTTTTTATTTTTTTATTATGTGGCGATCTTTCCTGTCAGGCAGTGGAAGTGCTGGGGTGCAAGGTAATCTTGGAATATGCATTTCGGGTAACTAGGTGGCTCTTTGGTAGAGTAAGTGGTCCAAATTAAAAAGCTGGTAATAAAAAAGGAGAAAGGGATGGGAGAAGAGTGAATAGGGAATCAAAACGGGGAATTAATGGAAAGTGGGTTAATAACTGGGGCGTGGTAAGGGAAAAGAGGGGTACAGGAAGAACATGAAAAGTGGGGAACTGCATTGTGTCAAGAGGGTATTGAGAAGAACTGTGGAATTAATCAGAAGATTAATTAGGGTGGAGAACAGTATGAGGTTGCTAGGTATTTGTGAAACAGGAGAAATGAGTGGACAGTGAATAGACATAGCAGAAAGAATGAGTGGAGGAGAAGTGGGTTGAAGAAAGGATGAGTGAAGTGGGACTATTGATGGGGAGGCAGTTTATTGTAACAAATAATTAGTGGATTGGGGCAGTTGAGTGAGAGGTAGTTCAGTTTACTGTAGCTGAGGATGAGTGGAGTGAAACTGGAAATCGAGGGACAGTTTACTATAGAGGAGTGGAATGGGTCTGTTAATAGTGCAATTTAACAAAGCAATGGAAGAGTGGAGTGTGACTATTGCTGGAGGGACAGTTTATAGTAGATAATGATGAGTGGAGTTGAGTCAAGTCTGTCTGAGAATGTAACTAGGAATATGCAAAAATTATATTTGTTTATTTATTAAATATTTTACCAGGAAAGATACATTGGGATTTCTCTAGTTTTCAAGTATGTCCTGGGTCCACAAAACATTGCATTGATACAATAGGGTACAATAAAATACAAAAACAATATTAATACACAGCATATACAAAATTTAACATAGAACAGGTAGGAAGTATATAATTAACCATGACAGGTGCATTCTGTTTTGAGGTATGTAGAGAGGGATCTCTTAAAGGATTTTAGGCCTGGGGAAGATTTGAAAGTGTGCGGGAGGTCTTTCCATAATTGTAGTGCTCTGTAGTAAAAGGAGGATCGAGCTGCTTTCCTTTTGTATTGAGGTAGACTATATAAAGTGCTGGTACTGGATCGGAGGTTATAGTAGGTGGGAACAGCCGAGGAGAGCATTTTGCTCAGGTAGGGTGGGAGCTTCCCAGAAAAGCTCTTAAACACAAGGCTGGAAAGATGAAGGGTGGGTCTTGATTCTAGGGATGTGAATGGGCAAAAAAATTTGGTTTGGCACTTCCGAAATTTGGGACTTTGGCACTTCAGTTCGGTTCGGCACTTCCGAAATGAGGGACTTTGGCACTTCAAGACTTTGGCAATTCCCTAACCTTAACCAACCCTACCTCTAACCCTACCCCTAACCCTACGAAGGGTAGGGTTAGAGGAAGGTTGGGGTAAGGGGTAGGGTTCAGGTTAGGGGTAGGGTTAGAGGAAGGTTGGTGTAAGGTGTAGGGTTAGGAGTAGGGTTAGATTCCTGTCATCATTCCCTTAATGTTACCTCCCTCTCCTGTTTTGCCACTTTTCAGAAATCCGAAGCATTTCGGCGGTTCGGATCGTCACTTCAGAAATTCGCACTTCGGCAAATTGGACATTCATCCGAATGGCCGATTTGCTGAAATTCGTCCGAATTTAAATTTGTCTGAATTTAAATTCGGACTGAAATGAATTGCACAAGTCTACTGGATTCCTGCGAAAGCCAGTTTAGTTCTTTTAGCATGTCACAATGATGGGTCCTGTAATTACATTGTAGCACAAATCATCAGAACGAGTTATACAATGTATTAAGTTTATTAAGGTGGATTTGCGGTGCAGATGCATGTACTACATCCCCATAATAAATAATTGGCATCAGCATTTGCTGTACAATATTTTCCTTTTCTGTAGGGCTTAGTCAGGATTTGTTTCTGTATAGGGCACTTAGTTTTGGATAAAGTTTAGATGCAAGTTTTTCTATGTGGAGGTCAAAAGATAGATTGGGGTCTAACAACATACCCAAGTATTTGAAAGAGTGGACTGCGGTCAGTGTGCTATTTGATTTTGTTTTGATGCATAGATGGGAGTTTTGTAATTTGTGTATTTTAGGTACTGTTCCAAAGATCATTGTGACAGTTTTGTCAGTGTTTAGGAAGAGTTAGTTTTTTGCAATCCACTTTTCTACCTCTGTAAACTGGTCTTTGCTTGCATAGATTACTGTGACGTCTGCGTACATGTGTACATTTGATGATTTGCAGTAATTAGGCGGATCATTTATAAATAATGTGAATAGTAGGGGGCCGAGAATGGAACCTAGGGGAACACCACACGTGACTGGGAGAGGGAGGAAGTCACTGTCAGAAATGGACACATATTGTGATTGATCTGATACATATGATCGAAATGACCAATACCTGAGTTTTTTTAGTGTGTGCAGTAGAATGTTGTGGTCTACTGTGTCAAAGGCCTTTGCAAAATGAAGGAAAATAGCTCCAGTTAGGTCTCCTTGTTCCATGCCAGTTTGGATGTCATTGCAATCTTTTAAGATGGCAGTTGTAGTGGAGTGATTCCGGCGAAAACCTGATTGATGGATCAGGGGTCAGATAGTTAGATTGTTGGTAATACTCACATAGTTGGGTATGAATGCATTTTTCTAAGATTTATGACAATACTGGGAGCAATGATATTGGGCGATAATTAGAAACCAAAGTAATGTCACCGATTTTATGGATAGGCACTACTCTCGCAGTCTTCCAAGTTTGGGTATGTATCCAGACACCAAGGATTTGTTAATTGGGATTGTGACAGGTTTAGCAATATGTAATTATATTATAGTTGTATTTTCTTTTTTTTCCCCTTTACCTGATTTTTTTTTAATTTTATTGTTTTTATTTACAATTATTATGTTATATGTTATACATTGATAATAATGTATTTTTCTAAAACTGTTCAATAAAAAATAATTTGAAAAGAATATGCAAATATAAAACCAGTTAGGGGACATTTGGTGTTCAATGCCAGGTTAATTTGTTTCATTGATGTTTTAACAAAGTTACAGTGTTTATTATAACCACGGCGAGTTACAATGTTTGTTTTGTGTACATAAGCAATAAATCTTCCAGTTAAACAAGGAAATCCTAAACAGATTAATGGAATAAATATCATGTAACCAAGTAAATGAATTAACTTGAAAGAAAGTATATACAGTTTACCAAACCACTCATAAGTGAAAATATACTAAATTGTTACTGTGTTAAACAGACTAATGTTTGTATTGGGATGAATAGTATATGACAATTATCATTCGGGTTTATTATGTCACCTGGCCTATAGTGGAGATATAAAAGCAGGTGTATTATATACTGTTTGTACAGTGAATGCAGAGTGTGTGTTTGTGTAGCGGATGTAGTGTGTATAGTGAACGCAGAGTGTGTTTGAGTAGTGGATGTAGTGTTTGTATATACTAGATGTGTGTAGTGGATGTAGTGTGTGTATTAGACGCAGTGTCTCTGTATAGTGAATGCAGAGTGTTTAAATGTGTGGTGGATGTAGTGTGTGTACTGTGAATACATAATGTTTGTGTAGTGGATGCAGTGTGTATAGTGAATGCAGAGTGTGTGTTAGTGTAGTGAATGCAGAGTGTTAGTGTAATGGATGCAGTGTGTTAGTGTAATGGATGCAGTGTGTTAGTGTAGTGAATGCAGTGTGTGTATTAGTGTAGTGAATGCAGAGTGTGTGTTAGTGTAATGAATGCAGAGTGTGTTAGTGTAATGAATGCAGAGTGTGTCTCAGTGTAGTGAATGCAGAGTGTGTGTCAGTTTAATGAATGCAGAGTGTATGTTAGTGTAGTGAATGCAGAGTGTGTGTCAGTGTAGTGAATGCAGTGTGTGTCAGTGCAGTGAATGCGGAGTGTGTGTTAGTTTAGTGAATGCAGAGTGTGTGTCAGTGTAGTGAATGCAGTGTGTGTGTGTTTACTAGTGTATGCATGTTGTGTAAATTGAGCATTTTCCCCTTCCCCCACATTAAATGTAATAAATGTTTCTCCCCCCTCCCTGCTTTTTACCTGGTTCAGGTACGGGGGAGATTCCATCCCAGGTGGCATTGTGGGGCTCCCCAGCTCCCTAGACTGCAGCAGTATGTTACATAATTTCCCTTCTCTCTAACTCCCGTGAGCGTGACGTGCATGCCGCACAGCGCGTTGCCATGGTAACCCGTGGCAAGGCTCTGATGGGCCGTGGGCCTCGTGGGAGTTAGAGAGAGGGAAGATCTTTAAAGTACAGATGCAGTCTGCTGGGCCCCCTCTGCAAGTATAGGGAGCCAGGGGGGTGGAGGGGGGCCCGCGGCTGCACATATATATAGTGATCATCGCTATATATATGTGCAGAGAGGGAATGTGGCGCCCAGGACTGCCGGGCCCGTGACAACCGTCATGGTTGTCACCCCCTGATGGCGACCCTGACTTATACCTCACTTGTCGTCGGTAAACTAAAATTCCTAAACAAAATATACAGAAATAGGAATAGATAAATTGTATGATAGGTGGCTATAATACATAGAAAAGGCATTATATAAGAGCTATACCCCTCTTAGATAGAGCGTGTGCCAAACATTGGTGTGCAATTATGGGCACCTGTTCTAAAAAAGGATATTATGGCACTAGAAAAAGTACAGAGGTGGGTTACAAAATTAATAAAAGGAATGGAACATTTTAGGTATGAAGAAAGGTTAACAAATTTAAATCTCTTTAGTTTGGAAAAATGGCGGCTCAGAGGGGATATGATAGCCTAGCCTTATACAAATATAGTTAGGCCAATACAAACCACTGTCTGGAAATCTATTTATAAACAGGACCATACATAGGACACAAGGTCACACATTTAGACGGGAAGACAGGAGATTTAGTCTACTCTCAGGCAAAGAGAGCTACTGTAAGAACAAAAACGATGTCAAAATTCTCTGCCTGAAGAGGGGTTTTATTAGAGTCTATACAGATGTTTAAACAGCAATTGAATGAATACTTGCAAAAACACAATATACAGGGATATATATATTTTAAATTCTTTATTTTTCATTTTTCCATTTTCGATAACATCAAATACATTTGCTTAACAAAAGCATCAATGTAAACAAGTACAACAAAAATTAGAAGGAGAATAAGAACAGGGGATATTACCATCAATAATTACGTAGTATGGTTTTGACAATGGTATAGTTGTGGTGTGATGACCCTTGTCCATAGTGTAACCATCACCTGTTTTGAGATGTGAGGTTTAGTGCTTTATCCCTCAGTTCAGGAGGGATGGGTCTCATGAGCCAGGGCTCCTTCGTGGGTTGATAACCTGACCCGGGTCATGAGCTCAGCACGGGGCTAATGGTCAACCTTGTGGGCGTTCGTAGGTATGTTTAAGTTGTTGTGAGTATACCTGGTGAGGTTTGGTATGGTCTGTTAATGTAATAGAGTATTTTCCATTTGAATGGTGGTGTCATGATCTTGAGCAGGTCAGATATGAGACTTTGGCCCAAGTTAACATTAGGTTCTTTATTGCTGAGTTTGGACATAATAGAATAACAGGATATCATATAACTGAAATTATAGGGAGAAGGGAAATAAGAGAACCTCTAAACGAAGTTATAGGTGAGAAGGTAAAATAATAGAAACAGAGGTTTAGGCAATATGCCCCATACAGGTTATAAAACAGGATATAAATAATTAGTAGAAAACCTAAAGATGAAAGGAAGATATTTTAGAGAAACAAGTAAAACAAAACAGTACAGAAAGGTTTCAGTAATTACAGGTAAAGTAGACTGTAGTGAATCGGCCCCCTGTTGGAAGGAATACTGATCAAGTAGGAAAATAACACCTTGCAATATTAGTTAGACACAAAGTCCAGGTTGGTGTTATGCAGGTTGGTATAGTGCAGGTCGGTTGTGAGGATCAGGTAGGTATAAAGCAGGATGGCAAGAAAAAGCAGGTAACAAACCAGATTGGTTGCGTAGTTCAGGCTGGTATGAATCAGGTTGGAAATAAAGCTGGATTGTCAAGCAGTTCAGGCTGGTATGGAGCTGGTTGGTATTAAGAATAAGATAATAAAGAAGATAAGTCCATCATTATAATTACAGGATCCAGAATCTGAAGTCTTTCAGGCAAACCAACAACTTCAATGTAAAGGCCCTGTCTTGAGCAGGGTGTAGCCTTTTGTTGGAATGCCATTAGTTCGGGCCAGGTGAGGATGATGGAGAGTTCAGCTTTGTGGTTAGGGAGGCAACGAGTGGTGGAGAGCAGGTATTGTAGTAAAATAAAGAAGAAATAAAACATAAACTTAGTTGTCAGGATAGGATCCTAAAAGGTGGTGGATGATGGTGGACCAAGGGTGTGGGGAGTATGGTATTCACTGGGTCCGTCCAGGTCCCTGGGATTTGACTTTGGGTCATCCCCAAATTCAAGGGGGACTGGGCTGCCGCGGTCACTCACCACCCCCGTTTATCCAGGGGGCGGATTGGTAGGAGAAGTAAAAGTGGTGTGAGGGGGAGGGAGGGTATACTGTGTGAGGCGAGTCTGAGTGTCAGGCATTGTGGTGGTAGGTTTGGTGTCAGGTATTACCACGGTAGTGAGGTGTCTCCCTCTATCCACAGGTCCCATGTTTTGTGTAATGATGTAGGGGCATCTCATATTTGTCCATCTGGATAGTATCTATTTTTTGTGTATGATTTGGGGGTGGAGGATGTGTGTGGTAGCCCATAGCTCAGCTATTCCTCTTCAGGTCGCCAGGGCAATTTTAGCTACAAGTTTGTTTTCGTGGCGTTTGAAATTGTTTAAGGGCTTTAAAAGCAGTAGTGCCCATGGAGGGATATCATTTTTAACTAGTGGGGTAATAGCTTCTTGATCCAAGGAAAGATCTGACTGCCAGTCTGGGGTCAAGAAGGAATTTTCTTTACTAGTTTGTTGTAAATTGGAAGAGCTTCAGACAGTTTTTTTTTGTTTTGTTTTTTTGCCTTCTTTTGGATCAACAAATAAAAAAAGATGCGAGAAAGGCTGAACTTGATGGACACATATCTCTTTTCAGCTATGAAACTATATAACTATGTAACTATATGAAAGGCTTTATGTGCCTAACAGGACAGATGTAGATAATAGAGTAATATGAGTTAGTGGTACAGGACAATAAGAGCAGGTGACACCCTAATAGTCAGGTATGATATTGATAATATCTCAAAGTCTCCCTGTCTAGAGTGAAAAATGGAAAATCCCCCCGACTACTTCATATTTAAAAAACAAAAACAAAAAAACAACTCAAAATTCCCTCCGCTATCAGCCTAAGAACTCAAACCTCTCTGACTGCAGTTCTGTTCCCTTCTATACACATACAACCACTGCTGCAAATGCCTTGGCTACCCAAACCAGTAGCCTACATAACCAGCTTTAATAAACTTTATGCCTGGATTTCCTGTGTCTAGATATCTCGGCTACAGTATTATGTAGCAGCCAACATACTCTCATGCAACCTATCTACCACTCAACAACAGTAACAACAAAAAACAGCATTGGCCATTCCATTGACCCAATGCCAGTGTCCCATGGTGAATAAATGAACGGTGTATAACGTCTCAAATGCACCTATGTCAGGGGTAAACGGAGCCTACTCCTTTTCTGGAGGTATAGGTTCCCAGAGGGATGAAATATTGGAGAATACCCTGATGTCCAACCTTCAATTGCTGCTGCTGAAATAACGCGAACCCCGGTCTATGTGAATATTGTGGAGACCCAGAATGTATTCTGTTTGTACCATTATGTTGCATTCCAGACAAAACCTTAAAAAATCCAACACTCATATGGTTGATGCAATGTACTAGGGATACATTGTCCATGCATACGTGAATGCAGGTATTGGCACTGTCCCTGGAGAAACTCCAAATCACAGTCACAGAACTAGCCAGATGCTCCAGCGCATTAATGTGAAGGTGTGCCTAACAGGTTCTAGTCAACCCACCTTAACAGTGAGCACTCCAACCTCGAGTCTATGGTAAAGTCTGTCTGAGCCTCTAATATGGCCTTGCTGTTCCAGGCAGACAGATTGTGGATCCACAAACGATTTCATCTCTTGTTTCGTGGTTGAAAGTGACGAGATACTGCATACGAGGTACCGCTGTGTAAGTATCCCCTGCCCCGTGCTGCTCGCGATGACCTTGTGACCTCATCACAGCCAACAGCATCATCTGTCTCCAGACTGGCAGTGTGTCTGACGCTGCATGCTCCAGAGCAGCTTCCTTATATGTGTGCTGCACCCGGTCATGTGATCACCTCAGAGACCACAAGGGAGGGAAGAAACTCCTCCCACGTGTTCTGGTTAACACTAATTGGAGGTTAACCAATCAGACACACCCTGTGTGTATATAAGCTAACCTCTTACTTGCCTCAGTGCCCTGTTGTGGTCTTTGGTTTACCATTGAGTGTTGCACTTGTTATTTGGATTTCCTGGTTACTGATTGTGTTGGAACCAGCCTCGCCACAGGGCATTGGAGAAGACCGATTGCCCTGTGACTATGGCCCCCTGTTGAAATGCTTGATTTTCCCCTGCCAAGACCCGAAAGCCGGGTCATTCGGTACTTTCCCTATGTGAGCAGTGTTACCCCAGATAGCTATGCCATGGAGCCCATTCATATAACGAAAGACTATGTGAAAGACTTTGGCTCCATGGCAATTAAACTGTATGTATGTGATCTGAGCACCATTCAATAATAATTTGCGCTCAGATATAAGCTATCTGGGTAAATGTACCTGTTTTATGCAATAGCTGCACAGTTATATATTTTTATGTATTTTATTGTATTTTGCTACCATGTGGCTAATGGAGTTTTGCCTCTGTCCTTGGAGATAATTGGATTACTTCCCAATTATCCCCAGCATAGAAGACTCTGTGGAACTGGTTTTAGGCAGAAAAGCCATGCTTCATTTGGTCACAAAGGACGTCGATCTAACTTTTGACCCACTGGACCAATTTGTATGATTTTGACGAATGTTGGTATTTGGAGTATGCTGATTCTGAAAATGTGATGCATTTATGTGAATGTGATGCATACTTTTAAAGTTATGAATATTGTGTAAAACTGTGTATTTTCCTGCCTGTGATAATTATATTAACCCATTGTGTAAGGTAATTGTATCACAGGCAGAGGGGAGGATTTTGTGTGGGAGTGTCTGAGTATATTGGTTGTTTTACAAAACCCTGTGGGTGGTACTAATGTGTATATAAGAACAATAAACACACAGCTCTGTCAGTTCTACTTCACCCTCAATTTGGAGTGCCGTCTCTTATTGGGGGAATCTGCTACAAGGGATTGCTATGCTTGTCATACTCCCTTGCTAAATCACTACCAAGCTCTTGTAAGAGCTTGTTCCTGCCTTGCTCTCTGGAAGAGTCTACGGTGGTTATGGTGTCTGCTGCAGTGCTTGGAGTCCTCAGGAAGCACTAGGAGCATCCTTCAACGGAGGTACCCAGTCGGGGTGCCAGGTGATCCGTTACACTGATATTTGGCTTTGTCTCTCATTATTCCATCTCTCTGTTTCCCTTGACCTCAGTTCGTGTTTTGACTATACCTTTTTGCATAACCCGGCCATTCTAAGGATGGGAATTGCAATTGCATATTCTCTCTACTCTGTCCTGTCTGCGTGTTAGGGTTCACTGCTCAATTCACTGCCATTTAGGAGTTAAATCCCTTTGTTTATGAATCCTAGTCACACCTCCCTGCATGTGACTTGCACAGCCTTCCATAAACACTTCCTGTACAGAGAGCCCTATTTAGGCTTTCTTTATTGCAAGTTCTGTTTAATTAAGATTTTCTTATCCCCTGCTATGTTAATAGCTTGCAAGACCCTGCAAGAGCCTCCTGTATGTGATTAAAGTTCAATTTAGAGAGTGAGATACAATTATTTAAGGTAAATTACATTTGTTTTAAAGTGAAACCAGTTTTTTTTTTCATGCAGGCTCTGTCAATCATAGCCAGGGGAGGTGTGGCTAGGGCTGCATAAACAGAAACAAAGTGATTTAACTCCCAAATGGCAGTGAAATTGCAGGGGAATGATCCATACACTAAAACTGCTTTATTTAGCTAAAGTAATTTAGGTGACTATAGTGTTCCTTTAAGTGCATTTTGAAATGTTACATTTAACCATTTAATAACAAAGCCAAAATTGATGGATATATTTAATTGTGAGTTTCATACATTACATTTTTTGCAGTGAATATCACAGACCTTGTGTGTCCCACCACTGCAAGGACCCCAGATTTGTATTCTGTTATAGCTTCCAAGTACAACGATACTTCCCATGTAGACATTTGCCAGATTTTTGAGTAGTAAAGGGGTCAAATTACAGACATGGCTTTTTCAATAATTTTGACCAATTTACTGGAGTAATGTAGCATTTGAGACAAAATAGCACCCAGTCCCTATCATGGCATTACATTTTGCAAAAAAAGAAATGGGATTTTTTATTCGTGGCATTTTACTTGGCCATTTCCTCACCATTTGTGCCAAAGTTATAAGATTTATTTTCCCATACACGACATTTTGATGGTGGTTTTCCCAGGTCGTATCTGTCCTACTATTTCAAAGACCACAGTTGTGTATTTTGCTGCATTTTCTCAAGAGCAGTAAGTCATATACAAGTATATCCTTTTGCCAGATTTTTTGGGTAACTTATAAGATCAGAGTTGAGACAGTCTCTAATTTTGGCATGTCACCTGCTTCCCAGATCCTTTATTTGGTAAAGTTAAACAAACAAAATGGTATAACCAACTGAGCAACCTCAAGCTTTGATGCTACTTCTAACGCAAATTAACTTGAGTTTAATTAACTCCAGCTAACCCTAACTATAACCTTAGCTAACACTTACCATGACTACCTCTTCGCTGTTCAATGATTTCCAATGTAACGTGGTATTCAACAGCATTTACTAGGTGATCAGATGCCCAACAGAGCCCCAGAGGGTCTACTGCTGGATTGCATCACTGATTTGGGGGTTGCAATGGCATATACGTTTCAGATACATCTGCTGTCAGTATGTGCATTAAGTGACTGAGACATACAATATATCTGTTGCCACAAAGAGGATACTTGGTTATCGGAGGACTATGGACATTAAAGTCTACGACAGTTCAATACTAAAGGGACACTCCAGTTACCAACTTTAATGCAATTCATAGGTTTGGCATCATTAATATGCTGTAAGTTTTCCACGCTCAACTCTTTGTACTGTTTGGAAGAGAAAAAACAAACAAAAAAACAACATAACTTTGTAGAATGCTGCACCATAAGCATGCCTATTTAGCTATGCCCCCTCACTCCAGAAAAAGATGGAAGCCTGCCTTAGAAGCAAAGCACCCTGTCAGACGCAAACACACACACAGGGTTATTCAAAGTGAAAATTTAATTTAAGGGCAGATTAGCCAAACTGAAAGCATACCTGACTTCAAATTTTGTTTCCAACTCAACTATTTTGACCAGATCTCTCACTTTCAAAGGGTCCATGGGCGTCCGCAGGGGGGGGAAAAGGGGAGGGCACTTGCCCCCCCCCTGGATTTTTCAGCTTGTTCTGCTATTTTTCGTGTGAGATTTAGAATGAACTGCAATACCGGCGCCGCTGTGTATGGAGAGAGACAGGGATAGGAAGCTGCATCTTATCCCTGTTTCTCTCTGCTGATTGAAACCGCAGGGGAGCAACACCAGAGACAGCCTACAGATCAGGTAAGTGGGGGGAGGGTTTGAGATAGCCTATAGATTTTGGGGGGGCGGCAGCCTATAGATTTTGGGCGGCAGCCTATAGATTTTGGGGCAGCCTATTTTTTGGGGGCAGGCAGCCTATAGATTTTTTTGGGGGCGGCAGCCTATAGATTTTAGGGCAGCCTATAGATTTTTATTTTTGGGGGCAGCAGCCTATAGATTTTGGGGGCAGCAGCTATAGATTTTGGGGGGCAGCCTATAGATTTGGGGCAGCCTATAGGGGAGTGAGGCATGGGGGCAGCAGCCTATAGATTAGGGGAGTGAGGCATGGGGGGGCAGCCTATAGATTAGGGAAGTGAGCATAGGCGTGGGCAGCCTATAGATTAGGGAAGTGAGTATAGGCGTGGGCAGCCTATAGATTAGGGTGTGCACCCTAAAGCACAAACACACGCCATGTGTATATATATATATATATATATATATACATATATATATATACACACACACATACTGCTGTGTGTGTGTGTGTGAGGGTGCTGTTAGTGTGCTGTGTGTGAGCGTGCTGTTTGTGAGGGAACTGGTGTGCTGTGTGTGTGTGTGTGTGTGTGTGAGAGAGAGGGTGTTTGTGTGTGCGTGTTTGTTCGGGTCCTGTTAGTGTGCTGTTTGTGTGCGGGTGTTGTGTGTTTGTCAGGGTGCTGTTTGTATGAGAGTGTGCTGTTTGTGTGTGGGTGCTGTACGGGTGTTGTGTGTTGGTTTTGTGTGTTTGTAAGGATGCTGTTAGTGTGCTGGGTGTTGTATGTGTGTGGGTGCTGTGTGTGCGAGGGTGATGTATGTGTGTAGGTTTTGTGTGGGTGCTGTTTGTGGGCTGTGTGTGCTGTATGTTTGGGTGGAGTTGGGGGCAGACTAGTTAATATCCCAGTCCTGCTGCCTTCCCTGGTGGTTCAGTGGAGAGTGTTCTCTGCTGCCTCCCTCCATGCTGCTGTGGACCGGTGAGGTAGAACTTTGATCTCCCCACCGGCCCATGGAGGCTTAGACCAAAGCCGCCGCTCGGATAGCGTCTGCTCTGCATGAGCCGACCGGGGAGATCCAGAGATCTCCCCTGCCGGTCTCAATCCATTGGTACACCCGACACACCCCGTGCGCACGCCTATAGAAGTGAGGGATGGGGGAGACAGCCTACATGAAGAGTCAGCAAGGAGCAGGAAGGTAAGGTAAGAAAAGGAGAAGGAACGGAAATGAGCAGGAAGGGACATCAAGGAGCAGAAAGGGGCAGCAAGGAGCTGGAAGGGACAGCAAGGAGCACAAAAGGTAAAGTAGGAGAAGGAGCACAAAGGAACAGAAATGACAGCAAGGAGCACAAAGGTAAAGTAGAAAAGGGAGCAGAAAGGGTCTGCAAGGAGCAGAAAGGGATCAGAATGAGAAAGGAGCAGAAGGGCAGAAAATAAGCAGAAAGTAGCAGAAAGGCAAAAAGAGCAGAAGGGGCCAAGGATAGAAAACAGTGTCAGAAGAAAAAAAAAAGACTGTCAAATGAAGGAGAGGAAAAGGAGATTGGAGCAGGAGGAAAAATGAAGTGAACCCTCCACTTTATTCTGGACACCACATCATAAGGCTTTGGTACCTGGGCCAGGCAGGGAAACGCTGGACCTTCTCATCTCCAAAGGTAAAAAAATATCAGTACTAATGTGTTCACTTTTATTTACTGAGTGTCAGGAAGCCGTTGGGTAGGGGTGTTGCTGATTGGCTAGAGCGGTCAGCTGGCACTCTAAGCCAATCAGTAGCTCCCCATTCATAAAAAAGTAAAAATATTTTATGAACCGGGAACTAGCAATTGGCCTAGAGCGTCAACTGTCCACTCTAGCCAATCAGCGGCACCCATGCCTGATGACACTCTGTTTCAGAAGCCAAATACCACAGAGCGACCTGGAGCTGGAGGAAGCCTTTGGGGTTAAACCATTTGAGAGCGATTTGACCCCTTAAAGGAAAGCGAGCACCCAGGGGCTTCCTGGCATCATAGCATTTTCATTTAGGTGAAGTTGTTATGGTGTCCAGAATGGTCCTTTAATTTGCTTAAAGGAACACTATAGTGTCAGGAATACAAACATATATTCCTGACACCATAGTTGTGAAAACGCTATTCACCCTGACTTTATGTGATAATGGCTATGCCCCTTCCCTTTCATGACACTGTCAAAAAGGTACCAAGCATGGATGTCATTACAATTATGCCCCCCCCCCCTGGAAAAATTCCTGCGGACACCCATGAAAGGGTCATGCATATTTTGCAAAGACCCCCAAAGGTAACATCTCAATCAGGTTGATCACTGGAGCCCCAAATCTGTCTACGATTAGCTTAAAGAATCCCTGAAAAAGAAAACACTTTGCAGGTCCCAGTACATTCCTACTGCGGGAATCTGTGAAAATGTAATTCCCTTTACTTCTTATGTGTAATGCTGAAATATGTTTCACAGGGGCCTCCACCCAAGACATGATGCCGGAACCAAGATCTTCCAATTTAGTTAACTTATATGTCTAAATAGAAAACAATTGTTACATTGTCAGATTGAAGTAGGATCTATTTTTCCATCAGTAGACGGACTTAAATTTCAGTAGACTTAAATTTCTTTAACCCCTTAAGGACACATGACATGTGTAACATGTCATGATTCCCTTTTATTCCAGAAGTTTGGTCCTTAAGGGGTTAAGGTACAGTTCCACGTAGTCTTTGGTCTGTATAATCCCAGACATCCTGGTCTATATGTTTGTCCAGATGGGCCACCAGTCTGTTTTTCATACATCTGTAGTCAGGTGAATCCACTAGTGCTCTGAAAAGGTCTACCTGTCTAAAGAAGAAGTGTTAATTTTGTCCACCATTGAAGTTTTTGTTTTCTATTCTTTTAAATTATTTATTCGGCATCCAAGAACTTGGGGAAACCTATTCCATGATCTCAGAACAGCTTTCTAATGTAGACACATGGCGTTTTCACAGGGCTGCAGGCATAGATACGGTCAAGAGACTGATAATGAATGCTAATACAGGGTGTTTACTAAATGAGAATTCAAAGTTAATTTCAAATTTAAGGTCAGAGTAACTTAAGTGATCACATAAATGAACTGATAGCATAGCTGACTTAGATCAATTTTCCAGTTTGGCTATTGTTAACCTTATATTTGAAATTCCCTTTTTTTTTTTCAATGAAAGTAGAAATATTCCTTATTGTATTGTGTTAAGAATTAATCTCTCTCTTTAATCCCTATGTATATTTAAACAAATGGAGGTCATTTAGTTACTCCAATGGCCACTGGAGGGAATGCCCGCCTGCCAACGTCAAGGCAGACCCCCCTAGACGGGTCCTACTCTGACCCTTCGCCTTGCTTCCTTGAGCTTCAGGCAAAGATATCTCTAATGAGACAGAAAGAGGTATTTTTATATACACCCCTTTATACTTATTAACCCTTAATAGGGAACACATGGGATGGGTGGCAGCATTGTAACCTAGCTTGTGATACAAAAAGTGAATACCAATACAAAAAGAAAAGTCCTGGACTCACTCCCATCACTCCTGG